GAAAACAATCCTGTTCGTGCTCAAAATGAATTTGTTGTTCAGTGTCGGCCCTGTGTTTAATGCCCACTCATTTGTGCCCCGACTTGAACCTACAGTTCTATGCCGCACTCACGGGTATGTCGAATACTCGATCGTCCTCCTTGTTCGGTTGTCTGTATGCGACTCTGAACGGAAGTTTCTTTTGTGTTTATTCTCTTTTTCATACATCCATACAAACAAACTCATTATCCCTTGCCACGAATTCCCAAGAGCGCACACAAGTGAAGTTTACGTTTCTTCTTCGGTTGTTTTATTCGGTCTATTCTCATCTAATCCCAACGCCCTTTTCTCTTATTCCAATGTCCTGCCCTTTCGTGGTTCCGATTATCTTTCACCTGGTAACTGTCATCTATCCTCCGTATCTCTGCATCCCGTCTACTTGTCTCAACTTCCCGCTTTCCCAATCCGTTCCAAAATCTTTTGCACGCCACGAACCCACTGATCCTTTTGTGTCTGTCTCTCTCTCTCTTTGTGTATCACGGCGTTGCAACCTCCTGTCCCAAAGGTCACCCGGCCCGATCAACATCTCTGCTCCTTGTTTTTTTTCTAAATCTGAAGTCTGACTAGTGCAGAATGCATTTTCGACATTAGTGTATTGTGTACATCTATATTCCTTTACCTAGTAATGCACCAATTTTATAAGCTGATCTGGTATTGATTTCTAATTAACTCCCAGAAATCCATTACTTTGAAGAGCCAATATGGTGGTGGAGGTTTCCTCAAGGTTCATTCAACTGGTTGCCGTAGATAGACTAGGAGATCGACTAGTCAAGTCGAAAGTTTTTACACGTGGTCAATGCACTCCAGCACAATGGTGGTATAAGCTAGACGAGCATTTATTTGCATACCTTTCTCATCATCATTGTACAGCGAAATGCAGTGAAGCGAACTTCACTGATCGTTTCCAGCATCGCAATTCATACAAAGTTAGTGGTAAAATTTAAGGTGGACAGGGATTGGACCTGTTTTGAGGGAGGAAGAAAACCTCTATGGTCAGCACGAAGAGTATACAATTGAACTATGCATGCATACCGTTTCAAGCATTGTGGCTTGATAAGAAATGACAATAAGAATGCCTTTGCTGTCGATTGGCTGCCATATCCTTCAATGTCACCAACCAACCAGTTGCGGAGTCTTTTGGACACCAATCTGGCAGTTCATGACACCTATTCTACCTAATAGTTATGTGTACTTCTTCACGTCATCTGTTGACTTCCACGGGGTTTTCGCCAACTCGGAGCGGCTACAGGGAATAAGGCGCGATGCGGTAGTCGGTAGCTGGGCGTACGCAATACGTGCCCTAGCCAGCGAAGTCTACTAATCTGAATTCGATGGGCCAGCAGGTTTATACCTGATAGACTCCCAAAAACGCGGCGGCTTACCTTCAGATTACTAACCCGTTGGTTCCATCCCACGTGGGCTAAACTGCGCAAGCGCCGATAGTCAAAAACTAGACGGTGGGTATCTTTTACTTGCAAATTCAAGGTCTCAACCATGAAGCAGAACTGAACCAACGGTAGCACAATACACATGACCTTCAGTGAAACGTCGCGTCTATATCAAGGATGTTTCAGTCCTGCGTATGCAGCTCAAGTCTTGGAAATGTGGTCGATTATCTCTTGCTGCGTATCCGTCATTGGTCACACAAGTACGAAAAGTAATCGTGTATAATTTTTATTTCTGTCGACTTAGTCTCAGAACGGAAGTAGCGACATCCAGTATCATTGCACTTAGAAGGCGCAAAGCACATACCGAATGTGGCAATCGCATTTGTTAGTCTATCGATTGCGTTTTCCGCGCCCTGTTGGCATCCGAACAGACAGACTGTCATCTGCATACTCCAAATTGCCGCTTTTCTCCATACGTTTCTGATTTGAGGACTACAAAAGGGCGTTTTCTAAGACTGCGTTGGATGCGTGATTTAGCAGATCCAATTTTTGTGATTCCGACCTGAATATAAACAGTCTTGTGCTAGGACACCAGTAAGGTTGTTCCCGTGGAATGATTTTGAGCATTTGTCGTGATTCATTGGATGAAAACAGCACCAGAAGCCTGTGGTTAGCCGAATGAAAGTCAAGTCAAAAATGGACATATTGCACCTAAGTTAGGTCAGAGTAAGCTTGATGGTTGGTCTCTCAGGAGTTTTTCCTACAGAAACCCCCTTAGATGATTCTTAGTCGCACAGATTCCTGCCCGTATTTTGTGATACAGACATGATAAACTTTATAAAGGACGCCGTGATATTTCTGATCGATCTGGCGCTGTATGCACGATTCGAATCACACCGAGGTTACTGGTCTCTTGACAGTCCACACATCTCTAATCGCCTGGACCACATTCGTACTAGCTCCTCGAAAATTGTTTCCATTTCCAGGGCTGTGAAATACAACTAGGTGCTGGACCAGCAGACTAACTTAGAAGAGTGCTAACATATAGAGAGTTAAAACCAACTTAGATACCATAGAAAGCAAGTTGATTTTGATGTAAGGTTTGGATCGGTTTTTCAAAAGAATCTAGTGTTTTTCAACTCCTTCCGCATTTTGATAGCTTGATCTGTTTTAAGCACCAGTAATGAACAAAGCAACGTCATCCAGATGTACCATCATCATCGCACATAAGAAGAACTGTAATGAAAGAGCTCGTTTTCCGTCATTCATTCACAGGCTAATATATGTCAAAATATTCGGTAACGGGAGAAATCATGACAAATTGATTAGAAAAAATAATCAGCATTTCAGTAGTTTGACCAGATATTGCTCACACTTTGGTCATCACACATGCGCATTGGGTCGAGTGGGGTGTGTGAGCCATGGAAGAACGAGGGTTACAAATTTTTTGCGAGCATTTGGGGGGGGGGATTATGCAGGCTGATTCTGATCACTTCTACTGTGACTCAAATGCTACTCCCCATCCCCCTGGATCGACGACTGCGAGCCAGGTGGAGGGGTGCGCGGTGGCGGGCGGGG